CCTCGGCAAGGCGGAGACGAAAGTCTGGGTTACATATCACGAAGGCATGAATAATGCAGTCAGGAAACCGCTCACTTTGGATGAACTACTCAAAGGTTTTTAGAGGGAGCCCTGCCTGGGAAAAAGGTGCATAAGCATAGTATGGGGCGTTTGCGTGATGTAGCCATGTTTTTGTCTACCTAGTCTACGAAAATGTCTAATTTTAGTGATGGGATTATTTGCTTATTTCGGGCGTTGAAACCCCACTGCTCCTTATTCCAGTATTATTATGATCAAGGTTCTTCCATGCTCGCCAACACGTTCCTATACATGTTCGCCTCAGCCTCCATCTCGTCCATGGACCGCGCCGACCGCGCCTGGTCCTCGATCCTCGGGAACCCACCCCCGGGCTGAGGCCGCCTCTCCATAATAGCCCGGTCCCAAAGCGCACCACCGACGTTCCCGGGTTCGGCGGCCATCAGCTCGTAGATGGCGTCACCCTCCGTACCCGTGTCTTTGGCCGTCGCGCCGCGGATGCGCGGTATCACGTGGACATGGACATGCGGGACCGTCTGGCCGGCCTCTGTGCCATCTTGAATGGCGATGTTGAAAGATCCTGCTTCGGGCGTCGTTGCCGCCGCTTGTTGATGATGACCCTCGTCGTCGTTCTGAATCTGGGCAGGAGGAGGAGGAGCAGCAGCAGCAGCAGCGAAATAATACCGCGCCAGCATCCGTTGCACCCTTTGCACGGCGCCGAACAGATCCGTCAGCTCTGACGCCGACAGCTCAGTGAGGCGCTTATGAGGCGCCCGTGTACACACCAGGACGTGTCCCGGTAATAGCGGCTTCAGATTTACGAGGGCGAAGGAGTGGGGCGTTGTCATGAATACCTGGATAGATAATAGGGGATGTGAGCTTTAAAAGTACATGTGTTGGTGTTGTTTGTGCTTTTTTTTTTTTTTTTTTTTTTTTACCTGAGTCGTGACGTCAAATGGTCCGAAGTGAATAGAACTCATGATGCGCCGGGAGAAGAAGAATGGTGCCGGTTTTGAGTGTAGGTTGTTTGTGAGTCTTGATATTACTGGTCTTGTATTTGTCGTCGTCGTCGTCGTCGTGATTCTCATGATGTATTTTACCTAGTTCAAGTTGTGTATGTAGGTAGGTACGTATCTTTCGGATGCTGCTGGAACGGAGAGTCGGAAACGGTCCTTTTTGTGACCCCGGTTTGACCTTGAAATACCCCCAACCTATCGGGTATTTTCCTATCTAGACGGTCTATGTCTAGATACCTAGGCCGCTGAGCTCTCTTGTCAATTAGGAGATAAGATGACGTGGACTATAGAATCTCGAACGTTTGGTAGAGGTAGGTGAGGTTAGGTAAGAGGCCGGTTAAAGGGCAACTGGTGCAGATCCGTTTACGCGCATTTACGCGTTGTGGCCTATTCCAATGCATATATCGAGGCATTGATGTAGGACTCACAAACCTGCAGTACACCGCATTTCACTTTTGAACTAGACTAGTCTGCGCCTTGACTTCCAACTAAATCGCCCCCATCCCCCGAACAGGGGAACAGGATGAGCCATCCCACATGCGAACCAGCCGGTATTATGACTGCATGGGCATTTAAAGAAATGGAACTTTCTATAACATTTTGTGCTCTTTCAAAGCAAGATTTAGGCTCTTTATATCTTAATACTTGACAAAACACTGCTGTGTGACCAAAAGCCTCCTAGTCGAGTACTTCCAGAAACACCAACACGATTAGGCAAATCCGGGGTAGCACAGGCTTAATCAGCAAATAAAATGGTCCAACAACCATTGGATTCGTCTACGTCGCCGCCACAACTCACCAATCTCCGCACTTGTAATTTGTGTAGGCAACGCAAGGTCAAATGCGATCGCCAGCAGCCCTGTTCCAACTGTGTCAAGGCCGGGGCCACCTGCGTTCATCCCCCTGGACCGGGTAGGGCAGCCAAACGGCCGCGTCAAGCCGTAGACGATAGAGTGCTAGACCGGCTCTCTCAGTTAGAAGCGACCATCCGGCGCTTGCAGCACCAAGCAAAAGAATCAGCTACACCAGGGGAAGCCGTATCTCGAGATGGACCTCTCTCGCTTTCGAGTCCGCCGGCCCCCGGCACTAGTAGCAGTAGTAGCAACGGGCGAGGCCTACCTACCGGTGCAAATTTGGCTACAGAGGAGACGTCATTGTCGCAGGCCCCAGAGCTCGGCCGCCTTGTGGTAGAAGAGAGCCATAGTCTCTACGTCGGTAACGCCTGGTGGGCGGATATGACCGAGTCGGTTAGTCAACCACGATACTCCACCTGGGCTTCAAGCTGACATAAGCGAAGATCGAGCAATTGCGTGGCATGTTTCTTGAAAAGGGTACTGAAGACGAAGATCCGTTGGGGTCTTCCGATAGCCCTCTCTCCAATGACGAGGATCCCGTGTCCCTACGTACCAATGCAGCGGTGCTAGGATATAGATCTCTCGCACATTCTCTGCAAGATTTCCATCCTCCGGTCGAATTAGCTATGGGCCTATACCAACTGTTCAGCGATAGAGTCTCGCCGGTATCGCGGGTTTTCCATATGCCGACCTTGAGCCGACTCTTCCGGAAAGCAGTGGTGGCCAGTGAGTCTCTCGATAGAGAAACCGAAGCTCTGCTGTTTGCCGTTTATTACGCAGCTGTCATCAGTTTAGATTCAGACCAGTGCGTGGAAATCATGGGCGCGCCTCGGTCTGCCACAGTGGACCGATTCAGGTTCGCTACCGAGCAAGCACTCGCGCGAGCCAACTATTTAACCACGCGGAGCACATTGCTCTTGCAAGCAGCGTTGCTCTACCTCGCTGTGCTGAGGTCGGATGACGCGACCCGCGCCGTATCGTCTCTCACGGCACTTGCAATGCATATAGCACGCTCGATGGGCCTTCACAGAGATGGAACACCCTTCAATCTATCGCCCTTTGAAACGGAGATGCGCCGTCGCATATGGTACCAAGTCTGTTTGCTGGACCACCGGTCCAACGAACATCATGGTGGCGAGTCCATTTTGACTAGTGGAACGTCGTTCAATACTCGTTGGCCGCTTAATGTGAATGACTCCGAAATTTCTCCCGACATGACGGAATTCCCTCCCGAGTCTGATGGTTTTACCGACATGTCGCTAGCCCTTGTTCGATGCCATGCGATGCAAGTCAATTGGAAACTTAACGAGTGAGTTGCCGTCGCCCTTTCCCATACCCTCCTGAACCTGGACGCCGCACTATCCAAATATCTCGAGTCTGCCATAACTCATTCCCGCACATTGCTTTACTAATTTCCATTCTTCAGATACCTTAAGCAATCTCCAGGAAGCCAGCCGACGTTTCAAGACCGTATCCGGATTATAGACGAATACGCGAAATGGAATGAAAATTATGTCAAACGATGCGATCCGGCCGAGCCATTGCAATTTTTCACTAGAGAGATATCCCACATAATCGTGGCCCGAATACGTGTCATAACCTATTACTGCGAGCTAAAGGCACGGAAACTGAAAGCGGACGCCTGCGCCGGTGCCGGTGCCGGTGCTGCTAATCACAACGAAAAAGAATATCCCGACTCGGACACCCTACGTCACCTATTTTTCGCAGCTGCCGTGGACATAGTGAAGAGATCCTACAATATTATAAAGGATCAACGCCTCGCCCACTGGGCTTGGCACTCTCACACATACTTCCAGTGGCAAATATTAGCTTTTGTCCTGTCAGAAATCTGTACTCGCCCTCCATCTGCACTATGCGACGAAGCTTGGGAATATGCAAAGGCAGTCTACGACAAGTGGCTATCTGTAAAAGTCCGGGACAGTAAAGAACGCGGCAACATTTTTGTCAAGCCTATGGGTTTGCTCATGGCCGAAGCCCAGCGGGTACGAGATGCGCAGCGCGAATCGCAAGCCCAGATACCAATATCAGAGTCTGGCATGTGGTATAATGCGGAAAGCCAAATAGCGTACCACACTGCAGGCACCGTTCGGGAATCACTGAAATCCCGCCAACCGATAACGACGAGCGCGAGTCAAGAATCTCGGCAAGCTGGCCCGAGCTATCTGGGGTCCGCAACGGAGCCCTCACTAGGCAGTTCCCGCGACGGCCCGCCCATGTCTAGCTCTAGCGTAAATAGCTTCGACCCATTTTTAGCCACGTTACCTGACGACGTCCAAAACGCATGGTTTGAGTCCTTTGCGCAGGAGAGTGCCAACATCAACGTATCTTTTGATCCGAACGACTGGATGCCGTCAACCCAGTTTTTCTCCTTCACTTGAGAACAATTTCTGGTTTTCCACACACATACAAGGTATTCATCGCCACGGCTCGGGCATTGTATGGCCAGGAAAGCACAGCTATTAGGTAGCTAGGTATATCTATGTAGATTACTATAATTACACGTACATAAAGTCATGGTATAGGAGAACCTATGCAATAACTACAAGTCAAATCTGTATTTACCAGTTAAAACCGTGACATGCACCCTTACTATTTCCCCATTTTACGACCAAGTTTGTAAAAGTCCGAGATCCTCCCGGGTAACACCTACCACTCCTGACGCCACATATCAGAAGGACTTAAATCAGGCAGCTAGACACGGATGCACAGAGTGACAGAAGTCTTAATCGCAACTACAAAGTAAAGTAAATAAGACTTTAGAAATGCGTCAAATATACCTACCATATTTCCTATACACAAATGCCCAGCTCACTTTCATGAGTGCCAAGGTCTGTAACATCGACCAGTTCCCAGACCACAAAGAAGAAATCCCCGATCCTCATACTCTCTACTGTACCTACATGGTCTTGAGCGGATATGATGTAATAGAAGCATCTCTTCATGATTGTGGCTTCCTAGACTCGTTGTACCTGCTGCCTTGTGTACTCTGTCTACATAGGTAACCGCAGGTCGATGTAAGCACTTTCCAAAGCATTCTGCCTCTGAACAGAGCCAATCCTACCCATTTCATTGCTATTTGAGCTGATTACTCCCAACCGAATTGGTGTAGGGGTTAACATTCGGGATTCTCATCTATTAGAGTAAATCTCCCGAGCCAGGAGTTCGAGTCTCCTATTCGGTGTTTTCTTTTTTCTAATATCTACCTTTTTGCCCTTAGGCTTTTGTCCTTACTCTTGGCAGAAAACTTCTTAATAATACCCGGCACAAGTCTACTAGTAGTTAGGTAGTATTACTATATTCTAGACATTGTTTTTAATGGTATCTACTAGATGTCACGTAGACACATGCGTCACATGGGCAGTACCTATCTGACAGTAAATCAAACTAGGGGTGTTTACATTCTATCTATGCTGCAAGTAAATCAGATACGTACGGCCTTACCTAAAGATCTCTGTGGGAAACTGATTATATTGAAGATGCTAGTAGCGTTATGAAGGGATCAGCATCACAGTGAACCAGGCCTACAACGTGGTAATCTATCTGTGTACATGCTTGTAGTAGTATTTCCGACTTTAGTTGAAGGGTATTATATAATTAGTTGGTCAGATATTTAGCTTTCCCTTCCCTCCTCTTTCAGGACCTCGTGCTTCTTTTGCCGCCTGGCCTTCTTCCTGTTATGATCTCGCTTGGCTTTTAGGTCTGCGAGTGTCAAGTGGCTTCTGTAAGTTCACCATGATAGAGGAGTCGCGATTATATACGTACATACACAAGTTCGGGAGCAGAGCAAGTAGCAATGACACGCTGATTCGACATCGTGCTTCCAACCTTGAGTCTAGCTACAAAGGTTTTCTAAGTATCTATGTGCAAGGCGCTGGCTTGGAATTTAATATCCTTGCGAGCGCCCTGCTCTTGTCCAGCCTGAAGCCCTATCATACCTTTTATCCTATCCTTTGGCCAAGTTCTTACTTACCTACACCCCGAGCACGTAAGCCTCCTGAGACGCGGCCTAGCGAGAATCTTTCGATTGATCCCATCGAAATCAGTCACACTAACGTAGAGCGGGAAGGCACGTACGTACCTACATCTGTAAAATCTCTGCAACTACCTATTCTCGATTTCGATGGAAGTTACTACTAGGTTACCTAAGCCATATTGGGACCTTCTTGATCATGGCAGGCAGGCACAAAGGCCAAAATCACAATCAAACCCTACTGCCACCTTCTATCATTAACAATAAGAGGAAGGCGGTCAACAATGCTTCCAATCAGGGCATTGGCACCACAATGTCTTTCTCAATACATGTACAATAGAAACAATCACCATGCGTAGGTACCTATGTACCTTGGTAAACATGGTGATTATTCTCCCTGGCTTACTGATCTGCCTGATTGAAGTCATGACTGACGGGTGTTTGTATGTATCCAATTGCCTTACCTACCTGGCCTCCCCCTATCGGTTTGCCATCATAGAGTTCTCGGTATATAGAGGGAGAAGATCATGCTTAAAGGTTAGACTATGCGTATATATCTTCCCTGGTATATGCTATGATGTGCTCCGATGCTTGTTGATCATGAAAAGGTAAAGCAAGGAGGACAAGATTGATGCTTGAATATACCTAGTAAACAATTATACCTGGGGTGCATTGTAGGATGTAGGTCTGGGAAGTAAACTGCAATTGCCTTGATCCTGGGCAAGGGATCAGGTCTGCGAATTGTAAGAAACTTGATCTACGTAGTCAGGATCGTATATATCAAAAGTGCCATGTGAATTACCTCCTCCAGGTCTCTGATCAAGCACGCACGAAGCCAATCACACCAGGGGATCAAGTAAATCAGCACAATTGTTGATTTATTCCTCGAGGTACGTTTATTCCGGCCCTTCCATTGGTCAATGGGCGGCGGCCCGTTGTGTCATTACCTTCCCATTGACCTTAATATCAACGTCCGCACCTTCCTTACATCTACAAATGTCAACAACAATAGAACCGGCAGAATCGCCCATTTACTGATTGCACACATCCTCTGACCGCCTAGGTTTGTCTATAAATACCTCCCTCCTCTCCCAGCTTCTGCTCCCTCTCTTCCTCTTCCTCTTCATAATTTTCCCACAGTCTCATTTCTGCTCAACCAACAAACAACCAACCACACACTTGACACCTTGTCTACCATCCTTCTTCTTCATCTTCTTTACTCTCAAGGCCTTTCGTCCTTACCATCAAGAAGAAGTGCATTCCGATTACCACCAGCCAACTATATCAATCAAAGTAAGTTTCCTCTTCTCATTTTGTCATATCTTCTCTCTCTTTTTTTCCTTTCCTCTCTACTCTACTCACAATCCACAGCTTCTTTTGACACATGTATCCTTTCCTCTCTAACATCTTCCTTTTCCTTTTCTTGTCTTCCCATTTGATCTTGATCATTACCATCAGTACTGGTAAGCCTTCATTTTTCCCATTTGATCGGTACGTTGTCTAGTCCTCCATACTTGATCAAGAATCCAGCGCCATGCTTTGCATGACTGCCTATGGCTCTTCTTGTTCTTGTTATGGTGGGCGACTTCATATCTCAGATATTAGTCGAGCGTGATTCTATCACTGCATATCGCATTCTGAATATGATTTTATGACATCAGGAAAATCTTATGGGCATTTGTTGGTGAACATGGAACCTGTTTTGATCACCATCATCTTGGTTGGCTTGGAATCGAATTTGAATTTGACTTTGGGAATTGATCATCACGTCTTCCACATTTGGCTGTTTTGACAGCAATACATTCAATTGTATACAAAAGGTCAGTCCACACCCTTCTCTCCATACTGCTTCTACTGATATCTTCTCCAGTACCTGCCGCTCTGCCTCTGCCGATTTTGACCACACTCACCACCAATAAAAACCAAAGGTAAGTTATCTCTTGATCTGATCCTCCTTCTGACCCTTACTGACCTTTTAACAATAACAGAAATGAGCCGAAATTACCACCTCTACCTTCAACCCACACACAAACAACCAACAACCAAAACAAACATACCACACATGGCAATATGGCATTGACACCAATGGCACACATACAAAACACACACACACAGAATTGGGGGATATAAACATGGGATTTGGACTTTGGGGGATATAAACACATTGGACCTGTACTTCTGGCACTTGATCTTTTATGATCTTCCTTGCCTACTTGACTTGGCACAATATCTAATCTACAACCACCTTGATTAGATATTACCACCACTACTTCAATACAAACAAACAAACAATTTTGCCAGTCAATAATAAGTTCTTTTCTAATAGTGACATGTCTTCTCTTAAATTTCTATGATTTCCTTGCTCTTTACCTCATCTGGCTTCTAGCTACCTAAGCCTTTTTAAAGGCCATGACAATGCATGTAAGCAGAAGGCACAGTAGTCAAGGCGCCAGGGCCTCTAGTACAGCCAACAGAAGGGCTTAACACAAGGCTTAACACTAAGACCTAGGGGCCCTTAGTAAACAATAAGGTTTGCAATAGCTTTATTGCAAAGGCGGCGAGAGCCTTGCAATATATAACGTTGGCTGCTATAACGGCTTAGGCTAATATTTTCGATTCCTATATAGCTGCGGTGGCTAGGAATAACCTTAGAGGGCCGAGATATAAGCAGTAGTAGGTAGTTAGTTAGAAATATATAAAATGCTAACTAGAACCAAGGAGACCTTGCGTTAATACTAACTTTGTTATAGTTTACACTGCCGGAGGGTCTATAACGACTTATTGTTATTGCACAAGGGGGGCAGGTTTTTGTAAGAAGTAGAGGCCTCCTATATCTACTTATATAGACGTATTGGTGTAGATTTGGTCTATATACGTAGGCACCGAGACTGGAACCGTGACAAACTTTTACCCTGCACACCTAGCAACGCTCATCTAGAAAATGCTAGGAGTGTAGACTATAAAATTGTATTACTAGAGGTGGTTATACTGCTTAACATAATCTTACCAGGGGATTTTGCTGCGTATATGTAAATGCGTCGATGACCCTAATTACAACGCATGTGCGTTATTATAAACGCCATATAAAGGCATAGTTCGCCCGCTGGGATTACTGCCGGTACCCTGCCGTGTTATCAAAAAGCACAGTAAATAATATAGTAGTACAATTTCAATGCCATACGGCCTGCGTAGGGTCCTGCTGCATTGCAAAACCATGCAAGCTATGCAAGCTATGCAAGCTATGAAAGCCGTGTTGCTGCTGTTGCGGCGGCGGCGGCGGCGGCTGATGATGCTGCTGGGGCATATACCCTCCAACCTCTTGCATAAGACAGTTCCAATCTAGCTCACCGCCGAAATTGACGTCGGGAAACGCTGTAGAAAAATGTCTGTTCAGATCTTCAGGATGCATGTGGCTATACATGTCGGCTGGATGATATAACCCCGGACCAGGCATGGCGCCGGGCCCTGGTGGGGGTGGTGCCGATGGTGGAGGGCCTGGGACGTATGTCGGGCCTACTGCACTGGCCACCGGAATCTGGGGTGACGGAGTCGGCAACTGTGTCTTTCCCTTGCTTTTCTTGGGCATGCGGGCGTCGTGCTGCCTCATGATGGTGATGAGAAGCGGCGCCACTAGAGTGCGACCGTTGGCCGCTTCGGCAGCTTCTCTGGCATCCCAGGCCTTGACGAAGAGCGAGCTGAAGGCGAGATGTAGCGGGGTATGCGTCTCGGTAGTCATCTTTCTCCTCTCGGCATGTTCGAATATGGTCTCCCAAGCGCGCTCACACAGGTCCCCGCTCGTTCGCGTTCGGAGATCGCATAGAAGACAGACGTATGCCGGAAAGGGGAAATACATCTTTGTGTACCATAGAAATCCTTTCAGTCGTTCATGAGCTTGGATGACGCTGTCGTACTCGATCATTGTGATGGCTTCGGTTACGAGCGCCTCGCTCTCCGAGGGAGGCAAGGGGGACGGGGCCATGAGGGCGACACGGAAGAATCCAGAGACCACTTTGGACTTGCAAATATTGGCTCGCGTCATGTAGAGGGTCATAAAATGAATAGGTACTTTCGGGTCGCAGTATTTCAGATACGTCTCCTCCATATAATGGGCGAATTGGTCGAGGTAGCTGTCCAGACGGTGGTCGGCCAGGTTAGTAACAGCTTGTGGGTTCGCGGCGGATAGCTTAGCCTTCATCTTGTCGTGTCCGGGG